TGAGTCAACCCTGAGCCGGTGAGATTTGAACAGCCGAACTGCAGAACTGCAGTCAGCTGAAGTAGCCTGCAGTGCTGCATTTAACCACTGCGCCACTTCGGCTCTATCAAGCAATTGAACCAAGAAAACTTGAAAACTGGACAAAAATAAAACTGGGTAAAATAGTTTAAATTTGATTCTAGAAGTCTCTGTGCTTGTAAATAGGGAGCACTGCAGTTGACAAGGATGACCGGAAGTTAGCTTTCAGTAAGGGGACATTGCTTTGCATGTGTGGCTCTAAGTGTAATTACACAAAGAAACAAGCAGAAAATAAATAGATAATTTTAGACACATAACCACATGCAATCTGAATAATTTTCACATTGGGCCAAGGACGTCACAAGATGTGGCCAGAAAAGCTAAGATGGAGGCCATGATAATATGAGCAATGCTCCATCCATTTTTTTCAGTGTGATACATACAAAAAAACAACAGGTGGAGCTTTAATCCCATTGTTGTGGCTGCCATCTTGACTTTTTCAACCATACCTGGCAGACACCCTTGAAGTTGGCCATTAAAATCTTGATGCTCCAAGATCAGATGTATAACACTGAATAACAAGAGTATCATTATCCAAGCAATATGCCAGAATGAAAACTGGAACATTGAAAGGAGGCCAAATGTTGACTTCAGAACATCAAGTGCATTTTATTGCACACAAACTGGAGTGAAGACAAGAAGGAGGTAAATGGACAAAAGCAACATTTCTGTCTTTTGGACATGCATTTTTACAGTGCATACACATATGAAAAAAAAAAGCTTGCATTGTCATGATAAGATGCCGCTTTCATCATTTTGCCGAAACCAATGGATTCTGAGGATGCTTCTACCTGCTGTTCCACTTGAAATCTCCATTGTGTTTACAAAACACAAACACAAGCTTAGTTCTGTACAATGTATTCCATTTTCAGAGAACTAGAACCAAACACTTTAAAGATAAATTCACTGTACTGCTGATTATCATCTGGTGGAGGTAGAAACATTCATATTGATAGAAATCCATGAATGTAAGAATGTGATGAAATTCTGATCGGCATGAACAATAGTAGCCCTTTTGGGAGACATTATTCAGCTTCTTATAGTAATCATTGACCTTTTTCACCCATAGGGATCATTAGACATCACCTTTGGGAGAAAAATGTCTTTGCGCAGCATTGTGCATTGGAAAAAAGCCAATCCAGTTGATGTGCAACTGTATTAATGAAAATCTGTCAGTGCCCCTAACAGCATATGTCTTCAAGGGCATATAGTATATGGAGGTTCTTGAAAGTAGAGTGCAGTCATTCCCTTGGAATCAAATTTCCATCATTTCATGAGAACTACTGGATTCTGAATTGTTAATTCCTTCTCACTTAATTCATGCATTTCTGAAAACTCTGCAGCCTGAAATGCATGGGCATTGCAAAGCACAAATATGAATGTTTGATTAAGACCGGGAGGTTTCATCCTCCTGCACAATTGCCAAGTACACATCACAACTTTTCATTGAGATTTTCTAACAACTTTTAACTCAGCAAAACCGCTACCTTTAAATGCTTTAATAATCATTTGTTCTGATGGTGAGAATTAGAATTTGGAGTAGAAGAGGCTCATTGAAAGCCTATTCCATTGCAATGAATCATTTCAATTACACTTAAAGGAAGCATGCCTGAATGTTTGATTCTTGCAATAGATAACAATATGCATTCATTTCTCCCCTGTCTTTCCCCAAAAGGACATACCTGCTCGGCTTCTCCCAGTCTTCCTCATTGAAACCACCATGTGCAAAAGGATAACTCTTCCTGGCATCTCCAGGAGGGGTGCTGCTTTTCTGCCTGCTAGATCTCCATTCATGGGGATGAAGTGCAATGCTGACAGCCTGAGGCAAGTAGGTACCTATTGGAATTGGGGAGGCAGGAAAAAATGAGAAGAAGAGGAAGGAGATTATTTGATTGCTATTGCTGAGAAAATTACACTGGATGAGAAGTCCATTGGTATGTTTTCATTTGTCGAACTGCTTCTTGTCAACAAAACTGGGAATGAAGTGTGGGATTGATCTGAACACTAGAAAAAGCTCCTCTTGTCTATTAAAGAACTGTTAAATATGCTGGACAGCTGTGAAAGTGAAGAAATGTTCCAGCCAAGTCACACAGGACTTTCTCCAGCAAAGCATCTAGAGGAGGAGGAGGA